GGGGGGCTGTTCTGGCTGGTCCTTGGCAGGGGGTCCCCCAGGCCTCCCGACAGTGGGAAGGATTTGAAGATGCTTTGGGGGTCTTCAGGTTTGGCCCTGCCAAGACCCTTCCTGATGAGAGGCTGCCAGGCCCGAAGCAAGGGGCTGAGAAGTGGGGAATGGCCGCTGGGGACCGGACCTCACCTCACTGGGATTGCGGAGACCTGCCGCCTCTCCTGCCAGCCCCCCAGCCGGATCTTCCTGGGGGCCGAGGGACAATAAAAGGCAAAGGGAAGTGACTTTCCAGGGTCTCTTGGTGCTCCTTGGTGGGGGGGGCAGAGGGCAGAGGGGTCGCCCCAGCCACGGCAGCTCAGCCTTCGTGCATGGCACCCCTGGCCCGGATTTGTTCGGTTCCACCTCTGCGCTGCCCACTTTCGCCAAAGGGACGTGCCTGCCTGGACGCTTCTGGGTTTGGGCAGCAGCTCCTGCAACTTCTTGGCAAGACTTCCAGGGGATCCCCCCCCCCTCTTTCCTCCAGCTGAGGGGGGGGGGCTGGCTCACATGCGCCCAGCTGGCTTTGGGTCAAAGGCAGGACTAGAACTCAGGTCTTCCGGTTTCTGATCAAGGAGAATCTTCGCAGGGGCCTCCTGGGGGCTCCCTGAGCCGGGTGGCTTCCTTGCAGACGTTTCATGACCCAGCTAGGGAATGCCATTCGAGCTACCGACAGTGGGCAGGGGTGGGTGGGTGGGTGTGAGAGAGACAGCAAAGACCTCTCACTACTGGCACTGATGATGTTGCCTAGTTTGGGAGTGAAATGTCTATGAGGAACCCACCCAGCTCAGGGCCCACCCAGGGAAGCCCTTGTTCCGATTTCGAGCCTGGTGACCGAAAATCCACAATATCCGGCTCGGCTTTCAAAGCAGGAAGAGCGAGAATTCCGGCTTTCCTGTTCCCAGGAAGGAAGAGGCCACAGAAGAGGAACATTCGGGCGGCGGCTTTGCATCTGGCGGCTGGCGGACCAAAGCAGGCCGGCGGCTCTGACCAGCCCGTTTTTTCATTCCTATCCCAAATAAATTGAATGTTGGGGTGCTCCTGTTCCCCCAACGGCACCAAGAGCAGCAGTGCAGTTGCTGTGAAGCAGCACAAAAGATATTTGCATTTCTCTTCTTCCCCTTTGCCCCACATCCCAGCCCCACAGGGTGGAAAGGGGCAGAGCAGATTTGGGGCGGGGGGCACCCCATGCCCCACAATCCAGAAAGTTGAGGCTGGGAAATGAGCAGACCGACCATTTGCAACAATTCCCTTTTGCAAGTTTTATAAAAGCTTTTTTCCTCGCTGCACGAGGAAGAGATCAGAGGAAAGCCCCCCCCCCCCCCGCCCCCCCCCCCCCCCTGGCCCTGGGCCCCCCCTTCTCAAACACAAGCCCCTGTGCCAGCCTTCCCTGGCACCCACTTTCAGGGGCATCCTGGGCTGTGAGGCACATTTCGAAGACAATCTGCGTGCCTGGCGGGATCGGAGAAGGCAGTCGGGGCAGAGACGCAGAAGGCACGGGCAGTGGCGTCACTGGGTGGGGGCTTTGGGGGCACTGAGGGTTCAGCCTCCCCCCCCAATGGCCCCTCGGGTCTCTCCTTGAGCCCAAGCAACAGGAATTGGGGGGGGGGGGCTTTCCACTGTAAGGCAGGGGTCTCCCACCTTGGCCCCTTTAAGACTTGGGGACTTCAATTCCCAGAATTCCCCAGCCAGTGTTGCTAGCTGAGGAATTCTGGGAGTTGAAGTCCCCGAGACCCCTGCTCTAAGGAAGGCAGCCACGGCACAGGGACCACCAAAGAAACGTGGGGCTGCCATCCCCTCCGGAGGCTGAAAACTCCCTGCTCCCAGTTGGGGGGAGCCCCGGTGGCTGCTGGGGGAAGGAAGCGTGGCGGGGAGGGGCGAGGCCTTCCTTCGGCCCCTTCTGGGCACCCAGCTGGTCCTTCCACCTGCAGAGCCACCAGCCGTAGGCGAGTCCCACCGAAGCCCGAACCTCCATTTCAGGGGGCCCATGTGGCACCCCCCCCAGGATATGGTTCAGGGCAGGGGCAGCACCAGATGCCTCCCTGGCTGGGCCCCATTGGGGGGCTTCCAGAGGGGGCGGCAGTGATGCCCCACCTCCCCAGAACAGGACCTCCACCTGCGGGAGGCTCCAGGTGGGGATGTCTGACCGCCTGCTGGGCTGGAGCAGGTGAAGGCTGCTGTGGGGTCCTGAGCAGTGGGGAGCCCTGGGGGGGTGCAAATTGGCAGGGGGAGGGGCCGGGCCAGGACCTCCTGCAGGGGAGGAGCTTTGCTGCTGATTGGGGGAGGGGGCTTTTCCCAAATGGCAACTGGACTTTCTGGGGTTTTTCCCTTTAAAACTCTTCGCTTCTCATCCAAGAAGCTGAGGGAGAGAAAAGGGGGGAGGGGGGAAAGGAAGGAAGGAGCATGGGTGGATTTGGGGGGGCTTTTAAGAAGAGACCGGACTGCCATTTGTCTGAAATGGGGGGGGTCTCCTGCTTGAGCAGGGGGCTGGACTAGAGGACCTCCAAGGTCCCTTCCAAAGTTGTTGTTCTGTTCTATTAGGGAGGGAGGGAGGGAGGAACCCTGAAGATGCTTCTGGGATGAGAAACGAAATGTTTTCAAGGAAAAAGCCAAGAAAATCCAGTTGCCTTTGAGGAAAAAAAACCACCTTTGGGACCTGCGTGGCCTGGAAGACGGAGGATCCCCACAGAGGGAGGGGCCCCCATTCATGGCAGCCAATGCCTGCACGATTTCCCCCCGGAGGGGGGAGTGGCCCAGACCCCCCACCCCTTCCCCAGAGCCCCCTGGGGAGGTCCGACTGAGGGGCCTGAGGGAGCAGAATTCCCTTCTGGCCCCCCAAGGATCGCTTGGAAGCCCAATGTGGGGGGTGGGGGAGGGGCTGGGCTGGATTCGGGGGCCCTTTGCTCGCTTCAGCCGCTGCTCCGAAGGGCCCGGGAGGGAGAGGTAGCGATGCAAGAGCTGGGAGGGGGCAGGTAAGGCAGGCCAGACAGCAGCCCCCCCCCCCCGTCTGTCCGTCTGTCCTAGCTCTGCTCCAGGGGGGTCCCGCACTCCAGGCTGTTGTCCGACCCGGCCGAGGAGGAGTCCTGGGAGGAGCGGCCCTGCAGGAACCGGATCAGCTTCTCGATGGTGGCTTCCTGGTACTCGTGGGACCACCTGGAGGGACGGGGGGGGGAGGGCAAGCAGTGGGGGAGAGACTCAGCCTGGCTGTGGAATAGGGCAGGGGGCTTCCACCTAGGGCCCCTTTTAGGCTTGGGGACCGACTCCCAGAATTCCCCAGCCAGCAGACCAGGGGTCTCCAACTGGCTGGGGAATTCTGGGAGTTGAAGTCCCCAAGTCTTAAAGGGGCCGAGGTTGGAGACCCCAGGAATAAGAGTGTTACTACAGTTAAAAAGTGAGTTACATTTATCACGGTCATCTGATCAAAATTCGGACCCTTGGCAACTGACTTGGGTTTATGACGGTCGCAGCTTGTCCCCGGGGTCACCTGATTCCCTGACGAGCAATCAATGGGGAAGCCCAATTGGCTTAACAACGGTGTGGCTAACTGAAAACCAGTGGGAATTCCCTTAACAACCGCGGCCAGAAAGCTGTAAAGTGGGGCGAAACTCACTCAAGGACTGTCTCACTTAGCAACATAAATTTTGGGCTGAACTGTGATTCTAAGTTGAGGACTCCCTATACAAAGCCAGGCCTCTCCCTCATGGGCAGGAGGGCGCTGCTGTGGCTTCTCTCGTGGTCCCTGCCCTCCACCGCTCTGGGCCCAGGTCTGTGTTATGGGCCACCCGGGGCCATCAGAGCTGGTGGCAGACTCGGACAGTGAGGAGGTTGGGGGGGAACATGGGCCAGTCCTGGAGTCTGGGGGAGGCTCGGACGAGGGCTCTGCATCGGAGGCAGAGATGGGGCCAGGACCCTCCGAACAGTTATCAGCTGCCTTCGGAGTCGGAGATCAGTGGGGAAGAAGAACAGCTGGAGCCTGTTCCCAGTGTGTGCGTGCACAGAGCTGCCAGAAGAAGGGAACAGCTAAGGAACAAGAGTCGATTTGGGAGTAAAGGCTCAGGTGGACGGTGAATGGCTCCTCCCAGAGCGAAAGGGGAGGGTGTTTGCAGGAGACAATTAGTTCATTAATTCATTAGGGTGAAGATTTGTTCCTGACTCCTTGCCAGGTGTTTTCTGCTACGGCATTGCTCTTGGAAGCTCTCGGCCTAGCAACTCTCCAAGCCTGATAAGGTCTCTGGTTGTAAATCCCCCTTGAAAGACTTTGCTGGATGTGAAGGAGAGGAATTCACAGTAGCCTAATAAAAGGGGTTTTGTCGGGACGAGGAGAACCGTCCGCATGGGGCGGCCCAAGGGGGTGTGTGGAAGGCCTCCCCCCGCTGCCTTCGGTCCCCCACTCACTTGATCCCGTTGAATTTTAGGATGGCCCTCATGTCCTCCGGAAGCTCCTCCGGGTCTGGCCAGTCAAAGTGGTCGGTCACCGGGATGATGTTTTTCTGGCCGCTCAGGGCAGTGGCTATTTCCTGCAAAGACAGCCTTCTCAAGCACCCCCTGGGCCCCCTCCCAGCAGCCTGGTCCCCGTGCAGGGCGTCCCCCCAAACCGACCTGCCTCCAGACAGCCTCCCTCCCTGTGGGGGCTGCTTGGGGGGGCCGTTCCCCTCCCTCCCTCCCTCCCTCACCTTGTGCACCCAGTCTTTGCAGGCCTCGTCCCCCTTGCAGCGGTCCAGGGCCTGGACAGAGAGGACCAGCACGAAATTCCGGGCGCCCATCACGCTCTGGGTCAGCTTGTCCTCAAACTTCCCGGCCTCCAACTTCTCCACGTCCAGGAAGACGCTGAATCCGTGCAGCTGCAGGTGGACCTTCAGGAGGCTGTGGGAGGGAGTGGGGGGGGGAGGCGTTTTAGGGACCCCCCTGCTCTGCTTTTCCCTGGGCAGAGGCGATCCCTGGTGCTCTCTGAGCCGGGCGGCCTCCTGGCAGGCGTTTCACAGAATTACAGAATTGGGAGGGACCTTGGAGGTCCTCTAGCCCAACCCCCTGCTGAAGCAGGAGACTCGATACCATTTCAGACAATCTGGCCTTAAAAGCAGCCAGAACTTTGGAAGACAACTTGTGTCCCAGGTGTAGCCCTGAGGATTCACCTGCTTTGGCCAGGAAACCTCTGCCAGAAGACCACCAAGCCCAGAGCTCACCAGGGCCGCCTCGTTCCAACCCTGAGCTCCAAACGTTCTCCTCCGTTAGGCCCCCTTTGTATAGGGAGCACCTGGGGGGCCAGAGGCCTGCAAAGCATCGCCTGTTCCCCTCCTGGGGGCTGCTCTCCTTCGACAAGGGACAGAGCCCCTCCAGGGAGGGAGAAGGCCCTGAGCCCCCCCCCCCCCCCGGAGCGCCTGGGGCAGCCATGCATGTCGTTTGGGATCTGGGGACAGCCCAGGCAGCCCCCTCCCCAGTACCTGGCCAGCTGAGACCCCGTACGCCGCCGGTAGCTGATGAAGACGTCCGTGCCCTCCAAGGCAGACTTCCGGCTGATGCAGGGCAGAGGCGAGTGGAGCATCTCTGGGCGGAAGAAGGGAAGCAGCAGAAACCGCTGGATGGGGCCCTTCCGACCCCCCCAAAAGGCAGACTGGGTTAGCCAAAGACCCCTCCCCCCCAGCTCCAGCTCCCCAAAAGACCAAGGACATCTGTGGAGATTCTCCAGTCACCCAGCTCACAGGTGCTTTTTCAACTGGACCCTCTGGTTTTCTTTGAAGACGTTTTGCTTCTCCTCCAAGGAGCCTCCGGGGTCCCCAATAAAGGACCCACAGCAAGCAAAGCTCCCAGGTGGGTGGATTCCTCCAAGAGTCGCTTCATTGGACGCATCATATTGGCCCAGGTCTGGTGAAGACCGACTCTGGAGGTTCCTGCAGTTTTCGCCGAATTAAAAGTAAAAGTTTGTCACTTTCTCATAGCAATCAGTCCCGTGGTCCAATCGCGGTCTGGTTGCCTGGTGACATCACTCCGCCTTCCTCTGACCAGGCGTGAGAATGTCCTTGTTTCCCAAGAGAAAGGCTTTTGTTTTGGCTACAAAATCCCAGCTCTCTCGGTTGAGCCTCGGTGGTGCAGTGGTCAGAGTGCAGTACTACTTCTGCTGCCTGCCGGCTGCCTGCAATTTGGCAGTTCAGATCCCACCAGGCTCCAGGTTGACTCAGCCTTCCGAGGTGGGTCAAATGAGGACCCAGATTGTTGGGGGCAAGAAGCTGACTCTGTAAACTGCCTAGAGGGGGCTGGAAAGCACCGTGAAGCGGTAGAGAAGTCTAAGGGCCATTGCTATTGCTATCTAAAATCCCCCCTCCCTGTCCCTCAGCTCCAGCGGGGCAACACCGAAGCGTCCAAGGTGCCTCCGATCAGGTCAGCTTCAGGGTAGACAGGAACTTCTCCAGCTCTGTTGAAGCGGGACGTCCCGTGCTAGGAAACCCTGGCCTCATCCGGATCCAGTTTCAGTTTCCAAACCATGCCGGCAAAGTCCTGTGAACTGTTGCTGTGATGTGGGGTGTTGCCAGCTAGAGGAGCTAATCAGGCGGTTGGATGTTTGGCAACGTTGCAGGTCACGGAGTTGATGCTGCTGGCAATTGGTCTGAGTGGGGAGTCCCCTCTGGGTGGATTTGGGGGAGGGGGTCCCTACGTACATGCCGTGGCTTCCCCAGGGTCAAGACGGTCACGTGGCTTGTCAGTGGCATTGTTCTTCCAGAGGGGTCGCAGAAATCGGTGGCCCTTTTCTCGCAGGTGCTGGTGGGGCCCCTCTCCGGCGTCTCCCGGTTCCCCTTGGCCTTGTGGTCCTCCGTGTCCAGGGGGGGGGGTGCACCTCCCTTCAGAAGCTTCTTGGGGGAGAAGCGAAGGGGCTTCGGAGGAAAACCAGAAAGTCCAGTGGCCTCTTGGGGAAAAAGCACCTTCAGGACCACCGTTGGCCGCCACGTTCAGCTGAAACCTGAGCTCAGCAGGCCAGAAGCACCTGGGAGCTGAGTGCAGCCTCTCCTAAGAACAAAGGCCTGGGGGGGGCTCAATTGGGAGTCCTCCTGCGGGCAACAGGCTGGATTCAAAGACCCCCCCCCCAGGCCCCTCCCTCCCTCCTCCAGCACCCGAGGCTCAGGGAAGAGGCAGGCGGGCTTCAGAGCCTGGAAATCGGGGGAGTCCTGGGGGTTGGCTGCCCCCCCCACCCCAGTCACCCTTTGGAGGCAGGCGTGTCTTGGCAGAAGGGAGACACACACACACACACACACACACACAGAGGATCTGGGCCAACTGTGTGTGTGAGTCTTGACTTCAACTCCAAGCCCTGGGTAACCGGAGCCGTAGTCCAGCTGCAGAGGGGGGGGGGCAGCCGGCAAGGGTCTCTCTCCCCCCCCACCCTTACCCCGGGCAGCGGAGAGGATTCGGACGCGGTGGAAACCCAGGCTGATGCGGCAGTCGTCCTGCAGCTGCTGCTCCGTGACGCGATGGAGGAAGTTCCGGTCAATGCCGCAGGTGACCAGGTTGTAGGTGTACTGGCGGAATTTGGGGTCGACGCTGGCCAGCCAGTCGGCCAGGTTGCTGCGGTCGCAGGTGGAGTAGTTGGCGTAGGTCTTCAGCTCCGTCAGCTCCCGAAAGAACCTGGGGGAGGGAGGGGGGGCTCAGCCGGTGGGCCTGGTCCAGGCACCAGGCTGGAGAAACCAGGGGGCGGGGAGTTCGAATCCCGCCTGCCTTCCTACCGCTTCCGGGTGATGCTGGAGCTCATGGACAGGTCGGACAGCAGGTCTTCCTCCGAGAGCCTCAGGAGCAGGTCCCCGTCCACCTGGCGCTCCTGCAGAGGGAGGAGGTTCCGGGGACCCTCAGCCTTCGGGCGGGATTGTCCAGGATGACGTCTTTCTCTCTCCCCCCCCCCGTCCCTCCTTCTATTTTCCTTCCTTCTTTCCTTCCATTATTCCTTTATTCAATTTCTATGTCATCCCTTTCCCTCCCTCCTCCTATAACCTCCCTCCTTCTTTTCTTCTTCCTCCCTCCCTTCTCTTTTCCTTCCTTCCTTCCTTTCCTTCCTTCCTCCCTCTCTTCCTTTTTCTGTTTATATGGCCATCCCTGTAATTAGTCCAGGTGGCAAACAAACAAAAGTACAGCCAGAAAGCCACCAAGCTCAGGGACCAACCCGAGCTGAGCCCCGCCTGAAGTCTCAGCCCTCCTGTCTCCCCCCAACCACACCACAGATTAGCATCTTGCACTCCCCCCTCCCCCGAATTCCGTTCCCTTCGTGGGCACGAGAGGAGCCAGAGACGGGAGCCCACCCCTGAGTGGCTGGCCAATAGAGCAGCCACCCATCCTTTGCCCATCACCCGTGGGCAGGGCTCCCCCTCCACCATCTTCCTCCCCCCCCCACCCCCCCGGGCCTCCTACCAGGAAGCGGGCACAGTACTTGACGAAGCCGATCTGCTGCAGCCACTTCTGCACCTCGGGGGTCTTCCAGTTGGGCACCGTGGGCAGGAGCCTCCGGGGCACTTCCTCTCCCATGGTGCACAGTGCCCGCTTGGCCAGCATGGAGGTGGTCCCGTTGGCCGAGTAGCAGACGATCCTCTTCAGGCTCTGGATGGCCCCGATCTCCGCAAAGATCTGGCGACACGAGGGGCACCGTCAACTCTCATGAGGCAGCCGGTTCCAGCTGCCCCAACGGGCACCTACCCCAGTGGGGCCGGGTCTCAGTCCTGGAGAGCTGGCCATGCCACCAGAAGCAAGCTGAGAATATGGCAGCGGACGTTGGCCGAGACCTCCAAGGCAAACTCGACTGAGGAGGGGCTACTGAGACTGGCCTCGTCCCAGGATCTGCCGTCTCCAAGCCAGAAACTTTGGGGCTGCTGCCCCAAAGTATCCACTGGGTAGATTGGTTCTCCCCCCCCCGCAGTTTTTGGAGTGGGGGTGGGCAGGGGAGGAGCCCAAAGGGGGGGGACTTGCTCTCCTGGCACAGCAGGGGCTCCTCTCCCCCCCCCCCTGTCTGGGTGTCTCTTGCAGAACTGGGTCTTTTGGCCCAACCGCAGCCCTGCGTGTGGGGAGGGGGCTCAGAGGCCTGGAGGGAGGCAACGGGCCCACCCCGCCCCACCCCGCCCTGCTGACCTCGGTCTTCTTCTGCCGGGCTTTAATGGCGGCCTCCACGCAGAGGTAGAAGGCAGCGATGCACTGGGCCTCCAGGCGGGAGCTGTCCAGCAGGGGCACCAGGCACTGCAGGTCGTCCGCCGTCCGGCCCTGGCTGTTGTCGCTGCTGCCCAGCCAGCTGTGGGTGAAGCGTCCCGGGTCGAGGGTGGCGATGAAGGGCTCCACCAGGGCCAGCGTGCCCGAGTTCTCCACCTCCTTCTCGATCTCCTTGTTGGTGGCCAGCACAGCAATGGCCAGGCAGGCCTGGAACTGGACCAGGTCGTCCTCCTTGGAGAAGGCCAGCGGGAACAGCCACTCGGCCGCCTTCTTCTCCACCATCCGCCGCTGGTTGGCCTGCCCGCCGTACATGGCGCAGTTGGCCAAGGCGGCGGCGCAGTGGCGAAGCACCAGCGGGTCGCTCCAGCGGCACCAGAAGAGGATGGCGTCCAGGCCTCCGTGGGCGATCAGCTGGAAGCAGGTCTCCTCCGAGTGCTTGAACATGTGCTCCAGGATGCCCGAGGTGCTGCGGGCCAGCGGGAGGCTCTCCCGCTCCTTGGCCAGGTTCAGCACCACCCCCAGGCCGATCCGGGCCACGCGGTTCCTGCCGGGCAAGGAGGGAGGGAGCAGGTGAGCAAGGGGCCCCCGATCTGCCCCCTCCGATGTCTTGAGAGCGTGCAAGGCAGCCCCATCCTCTCTGCCCCCCCCTGCCCAGGGAGAGAAGGGGGGGCGAAGGGTCCCCCAGGTGTGGAGACTCTGGAAAGAGGGCAGAGAAGAACGGGGGCAGGAACCGGGCAGGGCTAGGGAAGAGCCGGGGGGGGGACACGAGAGCAGCCTTCCCATATCTGAGGGGCTGCCCCAGAGAAGGAGAGGAAGGGGGTCCACCTCTCCCCCAAAGGCAGGACCAGGAGCAACGGGTGGAAGCTCATCGAGGAGAGAGAAGCAACCTGGAATTAGGGAGGAATTTGCTGACAGGGAGGACAACTGAACACCTGGAAGAGACTGGACAGCCCTGTGTCTGGAATGATCGAGGCTTTCCGGCCTCCGAGGTCCCTTCCAGCTCTCTCGTTCTGTCCTTCTCTTTCCCAAGCTAAGCTGTGCCCAGATCAGCCCAGGATCTACGACAGGGCAGTGCGGATTGCAGAAGGAAGACCTGGCCTGTTCTTGCGTCAATGGGAGGGAATGGGACGGGGTCTCCTGCTTGGGCGGGGGCTTGGGCTAGAAGGCTTCCCCCTTGGAAGGGCGTTTGCCTCCTGGGGGTCACGTCAGCCAGCCCCAGCATTGCCTCCCGCGCAACCTCCGAGGCCTCCCTCAGCTGAGCTCAGCTTCTGGTGACTCAGCCCCAAAGGGAGAAGGGGGCTGGCGTGGCCCACCTCCTGGAAACTGGCTTGATCTCTTTCTGCATGCCAGATGGCCCAGAGCCTCCAAGCCGATCCCATTTCTCAGACATCAGCACAATCGATCAGTCCCTAAACCACACGCACCATTTTATTCTGACAAAAGAAAATCAGGGAAAAAAGCAGCATTTGATGCCAGAAATTTACCTGTGAGTCCTCCCAGTCTCTTCCTTTTCCCTTCCTTCCTTTCCTTCCTTCCCTATGCTCTCTCCCTCTCTCCCTCTCTCATCTCTTCTTTCTATTATCTACTTCTCTCTCTCTTTTTCCTTCTAATACCTCCCTATCTCTACCCAACGCAGGGACTGCCCATGGTGCTCTATTGCAGGGCCTACTGGTTTCAGAGCATGAAGTCAGAGGTCGGGGGGGGGGACCCACCGTCCTTAAGGGGAGCTGGAGGGGCGGATGGCTCTGGTCCACCCACTAAGCCTCTGGCTGGCACACTCCCATCTCCCCGACGCCTGAGCTGGGAGGGGCCCCATGGCAGCCAGCCTCTCAAGGGGGCCCTGCGGACTTGCCCTTCTCCTTCCAGGCCCCACTGGAGAGACCCACGGATGCCTCTGCTTTGGGGGCCGAGATCCGCCTTGCCAAAGAGGCCGGGGGGGGGGGGCGGGCAGTGAGGAACCCCAGACCCAGCCGGAGGAGCCCTGGGACCAAGAGGGGCCTGCTGCTGCCCCAGACCAGCTGCCCTCCACACCAGCCATCCCCGTGCTGTGTAGAACGTAGAGGGAGGCCTCGGCTTACAACAGTTCGTTTAATGGCCAACGTTACAGCAGCACTGAAAAAAATGACTGAGGGCTGCTTTTCACACTTACGACCATAGCAGCCTCCCCTGGTCCCCTGGCGTGACTCATGACAGTCGCTGTGTCCTGGGGGGGGGGGGGC